TCTCCCTAGCGTTAATTTCATGTTTCTGTTCCGCATGAAGAAAATGAATTTGGTTCTGCAAGATCTTGCCCATTTCAGAATGTTCTGTACCCAATTGAGCCAATGTGAGTTTAGTTCCCCCCTGAATACTTGGAGGCTGGTGTGGGATTCTGTGCGCATTCTATTCTCTCCACACTACAAGGGCTCTCCTGCTAAAGATTTCAGTGCTACCAGTTAGATTGATTTAGCCAATTACCTAGAGGAGGTTTATGCTCAATATTCCAGAAGTATATTGGTTTTCTGTTGGCAAACCCAACTTATTTCCCAGTTGGTTTTTCTACTTTATCAAGCTGATTAAGTTATCATTTATTTACATTGTACCATCATTGGGCATGACATTTAATACAGTACAAGAAGAGAGGGCCTAGCCTTAAAGAATGTTCTGCCTAAAGAACGTAGGCGGTGTGGATATATAAATAATCAGATTTCAGAGCAGAGGTGAGCAACTTTTTTCAGCCTAGGTTCACCCTTCTCTTTTTGCTTGAGGCTTGGAGAAGATGTGGCTAGTAATGTCATAAAAATCAAATAGATACCATATAAAAAGTTATCTCATGAATTGGCCTAAAGGTGAAAGTAGCTGAAAGACTGTTCTCAAGCTGCTGAGCTATTAGCTGAGAAAAAGTCATTGTAAATACATCATCCTGTGCTGAAATAACTCCATTGGCCTCCAGTCAATTTTCAAACAAAAGTTTTAAGCAGGAATATGTGGGTTACCCAACAGTTTTAAATTGGAAAACATTTCCCTGTCTTGAATGGATAGATGTCTGAAGCAGCAATATTCTGTGGCATATATTTCATAAACAATACTATAAACATATATCATAGCAGGTAATACTTGAATAGTGTTTTTTGAATATTTATTCACTGAAATATTTTTAACTTTTATTTTAGCTATAAAGCCTCCTAGAATGATTTGCATACATTCAATGAGAAAAAGACAGTAGTCAGAAATAGTGAAGTTTAAATATCTGGAAGAAATAATCAGTCATATACTTAATGTGATTTACATATTATATTCATACTTAAAACTTTATTGGAATTAATTTTGTTGCTCTAAATCTTTTAAGATCTAGCAGCTCATTATTAAGTTTTCCTTTATTTTATTTAAATTTTTAGAGCATAATCCGATGAATATTTACATATCTCAGAGGTATTTATTCTTTAAATGTTTTTAAGATTATAATCCTAATGGATTATAAATGGAAAAAATGGAATTAAAAAATGTTAACTGGTTAGTTTTAGCATATCTAAAAAACCATGTCTGTAGATATCATTATCTGAAACAGTATTAATTATAAGACTGATTTTAGATTTGACTAGCATTGCCCAATTTCACTTATACTCTGATTAACTATTATGATTAATTTAATGAAAGTTCATTTTTCAAATTAGAAAAAAAGTCCATAGGAAACAATGTAATAGGTGAGAAGTTACTAAGGTGCTGAAAAAAATAACTTTACAGCCCATTTACGACCTTCATAGCATCCCTTGGTCACATTACAGGCAATATGTGTACTCCTGTGCCTGACTTGTGTTTTTTTCTCCCCCCCCCCCCCCCTTGCACAGCAGAGAGATTGGAAAGAAAAGGATTGCAAGAAAGTAAGCTGTTTGTTCTACGATCGCAAGGCAGCCCATGGCTGGGAACTGCGGACGTGCTATGCAAATAGCTTACAGTACTCTCTTGAAATGTCTTTTTCTCCAATATCTCCGTTCTGCAAGGGGGAGGGGGAGAAAAAACGCAAGCAATTTCTGTAGGCAATCTTTCCTTTGGCTGACCCTTCCCGCATTCCCCCACAGAGCAGAGAGATTGGAGAGGGATTTCAAGAGAGTAAGCTGTTTGCTCTTCCACACATCGAAAGCAATGCGATAGTGCCAGTAGTGGGAAAGAGTCAGGCAAAGGAGAGATTGCCTACAGAAAGGGCTTGCTTTTTTTCTCCCCCCCCCCCCCTTTTCTGCAGAGCAGAGAGACTGGAGAGAAAGGAATTTCAAAAGAGTAAGCTGTGTAGCGCACCTGCAGCTCCCAGCCCCGAGCTGCTGGTGTGATCCCATTGCTTTCAGCATGTACAAGACAGAAAGCAGGCGTTCAAGCTTTCCAAAGGGCAGGGGAGTGGTTAGGAGGCAAACAAAAGACGAAGGAGTGAAAGCGAGTACTGTAGTCTTGTCTCTTTCTAGCCGGAAAGCACAGTCATAGTCACGTGATTTCCCACTTAGCAACTGCTTCGCTTAGTGGCAGAGTTGCTGGTCCCAGTTAGGGTTGTTAAGCGAGGACTGCCTGTAGTGGTGCTTACTTAATGTTTGGAATATAGTAAGGAACAATAAATCCATTCACCCAAGATATCTGGATGTACATAAAAGCTGGACTTGCTTCCTTTTTTGGCATCCAGCTTTAACAACTGCCTATGTCTCAGTCTCTGACAAAGAGAAATAGTAGAGAGCAAAGCAACCAGATTGCTTCATGCTTGAGCACTACCAAATCTCTGTTCACTGGCAGGGCTACAGTGATCAGGATGAAAATGGGATTAGGTGGCTGATAAGAATCATGAGGGAGAGAAACTGGGAATTCTAGCTATAATCATGGTATTTTGGAAGCGTTCCTGCAAAATGTCTTCCTGTTTAAATGTTTACTGTAGATATGCAGCTGAAGGCAAGCACTAACCAGAAGTGGAAGGGTCCCCCCCACCCCCCATCCCCAAGGAAAGCAACATAGTCTGAGGAAGAGCAGCCGGGCCCCATCCATTGTGTCAGCCTTTCGAGGTAGACCAGACCTGAACACCAAAATCATGGATACTAAAACTACAGTAACAGAATCTTGCAACTCTGAATGTGCCTCCCCTCTATCTCAGGATAGAGAGCTAGGGAGGGTCAAGTCTAAGATGCTTTCTCAAATTGCATTCCTGCTTTGGGCTCAGATTTCTCTTATCTGATCGATGCCTTGGCTGCGGATCATTCTCCTTTTCAAAAGGTTATTCTCACAGCCCATTATACTCCTCTTTCCCAAGGAAAGCAACATAGTGTGGGGAAGCAACACTGCCAGGCCCCATCCATTGTGTCAGCCCTACAAAGTAGACCAGACTAAGAAACCAATGCCGTATAGGTCAGGACTACTTTTAGCTATAGTAACAGTATCTTGCAAGCCTGAATGTGCTTCCCCACTCCCTCACTTTATCTTCATGTGAACTCGGGAGGGGCTTGTCTGAGATATTTTATCAAGATATTTTCTTGCCCTGGGCTCAAGCCCCTCTTATCTGACTGTTGCCTTGGTAACAGCTCTACCTCCTATCTTTCAAGGCCATACCCTCCTCCCTCCAACTCATTGGCTCATGAAAGATGAGGTTCATTGTCCTCCCCCGACCCCAGAAAGAATTCTGAGCTCCAACTGCCAGTTCCCCTCCCTCATCCTCCTGATCTGAACATCCACTGTGTCCCCATTTGTGTGCTGGGCTTTCTGTGTGGGTGGGTTTGTGCAACCATAGGGGAACCTTCCATGGTTAAAGGAAACGAGGGCAACAAACACTAGATTTTGGAGTGTGGTTGTCTGTAGGAACAGGAAGACTGCAGTTATTTTATTTTCTGTTCCTGTGCAAAAAGCTAATGTCTGAAGGTGATTTTCCAAGTTTCTTCCTCAATTTAATGCTGGCCACAGGACTTACAAATTTAAGCCCGGCTTTCTTCAACCTCCTCCGTATCTCTTTAGTGCAGGAAAGAAAGCAGCTAAGCAAACAGAGTTCTTGGTTTAACCTCAACATGTTATCAGAGAAAGCTTTTTTTAGACCCACCAGCATGCTGCAGGAAGATTGCTGGTTTTATTTCTAGTAACCAGGCTATTATCGAATTGATTGATTGGTGTGGTGCAGATAATGTTGAGGTGGGGTTAGAGGCTGACTGCAAAGACTGGGTTTAAATCCCTCTTTAGCTCTGCAGCACCCAAGATGACTCTGTATTCATCATGGACTTTCAGTTTAAATTACCTCACAAAATTGCCAGGATGTATTTCATTCTAAGCTGTTTGGAGAAAGGGCATGTGAAAAAATTAGACAAAGAGGCAGAGATAAAGTTTTATCTCCGGAAACTTCTGCTCATCCAAATTCCAGGGTAGCGCCGTCAGATGTCAAACATCATTTAAAGGAAAAACTGACTGTAATTCTGGATACTTCTGGTTTGTTTTAATTAACCAAGCATTTAGATTTTGTCATTTATTGTTGTACCCTTTTCATGCCAACATAGGGCTGTGAAGGAGATTTACTTACTGGCCTTGAGCAAGCAGAGAACATCCAAAGAATTACTGTATAGTCCACGACAGCCCATTCCCCTGTCACCAAACTCTTCATTCACTAGAAAGAATACGTCCAAAGATTTTGCTTTTAAGAGAATTGATCAAAGCAGGAAAATCTCAAATGTAAATGTTTAGATAACTGAGTAAATTAAAATAATCTGGGCTGGAATTTCCCCTCCAGTTTTGTGAAGAGACAAAGCTGGAAGAGTTCCACTGTTTTTTGTTTTCTGTTTTTTTTTATTTTATTTTAATGCTTGTGTGCTGAATGGTCTTACCCATCCATTGTTAACCTACCATGGATGGTGCTGTTTTCTTTTTTTTTAAGAAAAGTGCTACATAGCATATCGCAGACTTTTAGGGCAGAAAGTATAATGCTGCAGGGAAGGTCCTGGAAGAGAATAGAACGACCTTAAATAAGTTCTGCAGAGCCTGTTATCAGGCCTTTGCATAGTAGCTGAATTTGAAGTGATGACAGCAGGTAAGGGTGCTAGCTTTTGAACCTCATTGGCATTCACTCAGGATTTCTGAAAGTTAGTCATTTAGAGATACAGACTACCTATTTTCTGAACTTGTGTACCCAAAGCAAAGCTGGGGAATCAGAAGAAAAGAAAGGATAAAAGTGCCTTTTAGCTAGTACAGCCTATTAGATTTTCTCCCTAGCTTTTCCCACTGAGCTGTTCTGTAATCTTTGTAGCTGCAGTTAGAATTAAGCTCATGTTCCTAATGACCTTTCTTCACCTTGAGGAAGCAAAAAAAGAAAACAACAGAAAACTGAATTCAGCCCTCTTTCTTCCTTGTCTTCGAACAGTAAGGAAGGTTCAGCATCACGCAGAATGAGCTTGATGGCGCTGTGACGTTTCAGGCATGCAAGCTTATCTTTTCAATTACCGTCTTTGTAAGTAGAGGAGAAAGGACATAAGCAACCGAAGTATTTTAAGCAATTCCAGCCCAACCTGCCACTCTTCATGCTGGTAACTCCTCAGCGTCATAGCTTAAGCTGGTTTTTCTGGTTTCCAGCCAGGTCGTGATAGCTGAAGGAATAGTTTTATATGTAGTTATCTATAAATAACTTATTTCATTTCTGGAGTATAATATGAAGAAGGAAATTGTCCCAAAGCATGGTAAAAGCTGAGCTCAGCTAATCTGAATGCATTTTGGAATGTAACTTTGTTCTTTTGTGGAAGAAGAAAAGGACATCAGATTTTGAGACGCGTGGTGGTACAACTGTACTCTAAGGGTACCTTGAAACTGGCATGTGCAGCTGAGATTGAAGACTACCTCCAATTTCTGGATTTCCTTTTGATCTCTGCTTCTTTAGTATGGGTTAATGCATTCAATCATGGTGATCACCAAGCTGAAATTGGAGCTGTGCTTCCGGGGGAAGAAACTAAGAGGTTTTACCTGTAAGTTTCTCAGATCACCCGGTGGATTCCTTCCAGAAACATGCTTCTCCATTGCATCACAAGTCTTCGGGCCATATATCTTGGGAGGTTTAGGCCTGGTAGCTGCCGGTGTGGTGATGGATATTGTTCATGTATGTATGTTCTTTCAACTACCTTGGTAATGAGGGGTAGACTGACCACGAGTATCTATTTTTAATATGGCTAACTGATAGCTAGGTGCAGTATTTGTGCTACCTGCCTGTGGGAAAAGTGTCTTCTGTGAGGATGTCAGAGCTTTTCAGAGCGTCTGGTGGACAGGCTGAGTTGGATGAAAGGCCCTTATTAATTGTCAACACCTATTGTTCTTTCTAAGCATCCTGGAGCAGAAATATTAGGATTGAATCGATCCCAGAACATTCTCATCAGTCACAAGCCAGGATATGTTTGGGAAAGTTTAAATTACTGAGAAAAGCCACATGCAATATCATAAGAGTATTGTGTTCCCAGGATTGCGGGGGGAGGGGGGGTTGTGACAAGGAAGCTATTCACGTTGCCTAGAATCTACATAGAAAACCCCAGCAGAGATTATTGTGGAAAAGCTGGAATACAAGCAACCCCTGGTCCTAATTAGATCCTTCCTTACAGGGTACCCTCAGCTCTTAGGCCAATTCTACCCACTCTTTTCCTTTCATTCTTGTTTTATTTTGTTTCCTTCTCAACTGACATCCTGCGAACTGGAACTTTCTATTATTCCTAGGGAATATACTTCTCTTGTCCTCATGGGGCTATTTGAAAGATCGGGGTGGGGTGGGGTGTAATTATTATCAGCCTGAATCAATCCATTGCAAGTTTAAAGCCTCCTCACTGAAGTTAGTTTATGGGGCATAATCTACTATGCTGATCCAGTGGGTTAGTGGATAGATGGTTTTTGACTTCCTAGTCTAGGGCTGAATGACTGTCACTGCCCCAAATATTTCCCTTCATATATCAAGAGTCCTCTAAATAAATAGAACTCTTATCTGTGATTGCTCTGTTTCATAGGATTTATAGCAACCCTCCAGGTGTGTGTATAGCTGCACTTATACAAGGACAGGATTTGTATGCAGAACATTAGACTAAGTTAAGTCAGAGTTGGATAGTTTATGGTTCATCAGGTTATGGAGGTCCAGCCTCTGTCTTAGCATGTTGTGTGAATCAGATTAACATATTAAAACCTAATATGATTTATTTTTCTGGGCATAAGAATCAAGCTGTAACCTATATTTTGTTAACCTATACTAGGGTTTAGCATGTTATGTGAACTCAGCCAAGAAATTATTACTCCTTCACAGAACACTATGCCTAAATACTTAGGGGAAAACCTCATTGATTTCAGTGGAATTTACTTCATAGGATTGTGCCATTACAGTATTTTTAGCAACATATATTTCCCTGCTTGGTTGATAATAAGCAAAACAGATTGAAAAGTGAAGTGGCAGTACTGTAATTTCAGGTTTACTTGTATATTTAAAATGCATGGGAATGGCAGCCAATAACATGTTTATTGTGTTTGTTTTTGGAATACTGTAGTAATGATAATTCTGTAGAAATTCTCTGCCAGTTGAGGAGCTTCTCTGGTTTAGAGGAATAGAACAGAAAAGGAAACAGCCCGTTAATGCATTACATATAAGGAATGGAAAAAGGCTTACACTAATCTCTTATCATCACAAACTACACTTTCTACTATGTTTTTCCTCTTTACTTTCAAGTCAGTTATAATCATATGCCTCACACTCTTGTACTTTGTGTTCTTCAGTCTAAAATAACTTTGTCATGCAGGATTGGCCACCAAATAGATCATAAAATTAAAGAACTGGCTTATTGCTCCAAGCATATGAACAAATTTCAGCCATTATAAGTGAGCATAAAACAGTATAAGCCACATATAGAACTCTTGCTGTGCTATTTGTACAGTATCCACTTTACAAAGGGCAACCTATATATGTCACACTTTATAAACTAAATAGTATCAAGTGAAGGATGAAATCAAAAGGTGGAGACAAGAGAGGAAGGTTTTGACTCCAATTTTAAACAATTGCAGAGGTCACTGCAAAGTCTATCAAATTGCTAGTGCTATTGTTCATTCAGAATACTTGCCTTTATTTGCCACCCTAATCCATTAAAGAACAGCTGTATGTCAACATGATTAAGGTATTTACATTCTCCGAATTAATGTATTGGGATTACCTGATTTTTCTGTTACTGCCTATATACTCTAGATGTCATCTTCTTAAAAAGTTGGGAAGTCACATATTTATATTTAGACTTCTTTTGCTATTAGCAAAGTTGCTGTTACCGTAAAACATCTTTGTAGTCTTGTTTAGAAGTTTAGCAAGCAGATTTACAAAGCTACTTTTCTCAGTTTCAGTAAGATGCAGCCCATCTTTCCTAACACTTATACCATGATTAAGAGTCACTTTATGTGAGGTGGGTAGCTATATAAATACAGTAAAACAAACAAACAATTCAGAAGTAGGAGCTGATTAACTAGAATACCAACACATTATCCTTTTGCACTAGAATATGTTGGCATGCCTCTTCATTTTATCCTCAAAAGTTTTCTAGTATTGGCTTATTAAATTGTCCCAACTCTGCTTCTTTCAGCATTTTTGATGTTCCCCATGAATAGATGATTTGCTAGTCAGAATCCACAAGGGTAAAGATTCCTGACAACTCTTTCCAGCCAAAAGGAATGATTCTGGATCAGATTGCACACATATATACATACCCATCACACTATGCTGTTTGGGGGTAAGCAGCCTTATACATAGCCGCAGGGTTACAGCCCATAAATACTGATTCCTGCCAGCCATCATGGCTTGGGCCAAACAAAACTTTCTCATAATGCTTTTTAGTAAGATAGATGATAGATTAGGCCGTAAGCCTAGTTGAACCTATGCAACGTGCAGAATTATCTAACAGAAACAGCCTGTTTTGGCATATTTGGACCAGTTTGTCACAAGGGCAACTAAAATCCAGTTGTACTCCGAGCATGCTCACATTATTTTGTGCAAGCTTCCCTAATCTAGAACCTACCTTGCAAACCATCATACTGTTGCCCACATCCCACCAACTTGATTAAGAATTTAAATGTATGTGTGTGTGGGGGGGTGTCTGTGTGACAAATTTCCTCTTTTGAACAGTAGATTGGCTTCCTTCTTAGTTTGCTTCATATTTTCTACCAGGACCTGATTTTTGTTTTTTCCATGCTATGAAAGACTATGTGGTTTCATTTCTTTAAAACATCATTAATATTTTAAGAAGCAAACTTGTCTTTGGCACTGCAGGATAGGTACATTAGTGTTAGAGATCACCTATTGCTGAAAAATAATTCAGGGAGAGTTTTAACCCCATATTCCTCCAGACTGCCTGGACTGATCCAGTTTACACTTGCACAAGGTACAGGGACTGTCTCCAGGACAGCATCTCCTACAGTGGTCAATGACCTTCTGCCCAACGTATAAAGTATGATTTTTAAGGGTTAAGTCAGCTGACCATCAGAGCCTTAGTTGGAGACTTCAGAAGAAAGAGAGGGCTTGGCTTGGCTTTGGCTTCTTTTGTGATTGTGGTTGCTTTTTTGGATCTATAAAGTGAAAATATAGCATGTAATGGCCTTTTTCATGGTTTTGAAAAGTTCTCAAATAGTGTGGATAAGTGGAAGAAGGTTGAATGATGTAGTTGGAAGCAATAAGTTTCCATGAGACTAATAAATGTTTGGTTCAATAAAATACAGTTTGCCATAGATAGATAGATAGATAGATAGATAGATAGATAGATAGATAGATAGATAGATAGATAGATAGATAGATAGACAGACCTTATTAAATTTTTAAACAAGAAAAAAGAGAACAAAGCCAAAAGTGCTGAAAGAAAAGAAAGAAAGAAAAAAGTAT